TGGTCCCCTAAGGATTGCTCTGCAAAGAGGACCAAAGGTGCCCTGACCTTTCTCATCTCTGCCTGTTTTACTGATACTCTGCCAAAAGGCTGAGTAATCTTTCTCAAAAGGCGATGAATTCTCCAAATGTCTGCCTTAAGGACACCTTTGTGCACTGAGGCTTTCAGTGTGTATTTGCAAATGTAAGGATGTCTGACGTTGCTGGTCTTATTTTTAAACTTGTGTTAGAAGATGTGTTTAAATGCCATGACTCAGACATTCTGCCAGGCTAGTCAGTTTATCGTCATTGCACTCACTGCAGTGATATTGATAGAAGCAGTTAAGTACAGCCTTGTGAGATCCAGCTCTGTACATTCTTACATTCACAAATATTAACTATATATTTTGAAATAATTGTGTGATACTTTCACATCTTGAAAACAGTTTTTCATATTCAGAGTACTTCAGAATTTTTTTTTTTTTTTTTTTTTTTTTTTTTAACACTGTCTTCTCAGAAATTTGTCTTCACCTTGCAACCTCATATTTTGTACCAGTTCTTCTGGAGATTATTTTTACATTTCAGTGTTGCCTTGAGTTAAGTATTCTAGTGTTACATGGGATTATTAAGTAGTATTTTGTATTCTGGACATCCTCCTCTTCCTGCAGGTGCCAATTTAAAACTGCCAAGGGAGGGACTATAAAAACCACTAGAAATTAATTTCAACGCCAGTAGTTTGAGTGTGAATATTACCTTTTCCTCTAAAAGTGCAGTGTCTAGCTGCTTGTCTTATTTTGAAAAGCATCTTTATCAGTTGTCTATATTGCAAATTAAAGGTAACCTTTTTGTGATTGACTTCATACCTCAAGATGCTGATTTTCAGGGTAGGGTTGTTTCTTTCTAACCTACGTGCTAGGTCATATTTTTCCCTTCTGCAACTCTCACTCCTACTATATAATCAGATCATGGGGTCTGGTCTGTCTCTGTTTGGCACAGCTTCGTAAAGAGGCAGTGTGGTTCTTCCGTCTATAGTGTATATTAAATTCTCTGGACCCAGGAGGATTTCCATGGCAGCTGGAATTCAGCTAAATGAGAGAAAATCCTTTCCCCACTTCCTGTTATGTGCTTCCCCTGTAGCTGGTGCAGATCTACCTTGGTCTGGACCACATAAAATTTGTATTACACCAAAAAAACTCCAGCAAGTGAGTAATTCTACATTAGGAGGTTTTGCATTTTTCCCAGCAGTTCAAAACAGTTCCTGTATTTGGTAATTTATTAGAGACAATGAAGGTAGTTAAGGAAGGTTTAGTTAACAAATCAGAAGCAAAAGTTTCAGATTCTGAAACAGTGCTAATTTTTTGGTATCAAGATTGTTGTCCTTGACTTGTCACAACTTAAACCTTTAAACTTGTCCACTGCATTGATGAGCACTGGACTAAGCCTTAATCCACTAAATTTAGCTGAACTTTTCCAGAAATAGTTGATGTGCTGACAAAGAACACCCAACACTGAGTTTACTATGCCGCTGTAAAAGATATGTGATATTTGTACGTAATGTACAATTTGTAACTGGTATTACATGGTGGAGGGTTTTGCTGCACATTTATAGAAATTCTCCAAGCTTTTGCACTACATAAGCTGACTCAGGACACATGGTAATATTACATTTTTGTCTTAAGCAGCAGTAGGAAGTGTGATTCTGAGTTAGCACCCAAATACCCTGAGTTTTTGCAAGTACCTGTTTACTACTTTTGCCAGGTCAGGAGCAGAACAGCACGAACCACAGGGAAGTTCTTGCTGAATAATGGAAGCCCAACTAAAGTTATCCTTCCTTGTTTCTGCTTTATTGAATGGGGCAACACGGTGCTTGAGACATGAGGATAGATGGAGGGCTTGTGTGTCTGCCCTTTTGCCTGGGAGGTGTTTGGTGTATGACAAGGACTGTGGCAGACACCCATAGTGAGCAGCAAAGTCAGAGCTGCTTTAGTATTTCTGTCTTTGCTGGTGTCACTCATATCTCTCAGGGCAGGTTAAAGCGAGGTTTGATAAGGGGAATGTGACCATTACTACTGATAACCAGCATTCACAGAAAATAAAACTGCCAATGGTTTGGTCTACTTATGGTCATTTGTCTTTTAACTTGAATTAATTCAATAAGAATCCTCTAAAACTATCAGGCTCCTAACCATGACTTTGGTCTGGCTTATACATATATCTTTGCTCCCAGAGATGTCTGAACTTACAGCTGGCACCACATCCTCTGGCTGCCCTTGTGTCCAGTGGTTCCTACTGGATAGACTGTAAAAGTTTCCTCCTTCAGGGACAGAATCTTCTTTCGCTTCCTCAAAGACCTTATGACTTTCTCATGCACACACATACACTTGGATTGTAGATGGGAAACTGGATATTCAGAGGAAGATGTAAAAACCAGCACGTCTTTTCTTGCACCCCAAATAGCAATTCCTCCTCCTTGCATCTAGGTATGCCATTGTGAGTTTCAGTGCCAACTACCTTCAAAACCACTTCAGATATAGACCCTCTCTTTTCCTCTCCTGACACTCAGAAGACTCCAAGAAGTGAAGCGCAGAACCTAGTTTTCTGAATGCACTGCATGTGACAGTACTGCTGCTGTGTGGGTTGATCACAGTCCTTAAAGGAGGAAAGTGAATGGCATAAATAGAATAGGGGCTGTCTGCAACACTGGGTTAAAAAAAAATTAGTCTGCACCCCACCCTGAACATAGATCATTGACAATTTTTTTAAATTATTTTATTTTTTTTCTAATGCTAGAAGTTAATTTTCATCCTATAGAACTAACTCATATTTTTATGCCACATTCTGCTGAACTTTCAGAAAAATACAGTATTCATCTCACCCTATAAGGAGTGCACGCTGTTCATGCATTTCCAGAAAAGTTATGCAACTGCTTTGTCTTTATAACGTTTGAGTTCTTGTAGGATCTTTTGCCTTGTTCCCATGTGAAACTCTAAAACTGTCCTCAGAATCCCCTTCTTAAAACCCTGAAATCAAATACAGGGGTTTGGGGTGAGTCCTTTATAATCCTTACTAATTTTGTAAGTTTTGCACTTTTTGTTACATGCCTTTCACCAGGGAAATTTAGCCTTAAGGCTGTAATTACTTTGGAAAAGCATTTTTATGTTTCCTTTCAATGCATCCTGGAGAGGATTCTCCCAGATTTGACCTCAGTAAAAGGTCTTCACATACCACAGACTCATTTCAAGTGACACGTGTCCACTGAGGTATACTTGGGGAACAGAGGATGAGCATTCCTGTTAAGTGCTCTTAATGCACCTCTCCCTGTGCATTGCAGCTGCTTCAAGCTGTTGTGCAAGTGTGCAGGACTAGACCATCACTGGAGCATCACTAAGTTGTCTCCACATTGGCTAGAGAGGATGGTTGGTCTTACCCTTATGCATTGTGCTGTGTTGATCCCTGGTGATGGTTGGTGTTATACATTAAAGCAGCTGAGGACATGGACCAGCAAGAGCACAGTTGAACCTGGATAAATTGCAGTAGTGGTTCAAATCAAGTTTTCCCTCCATCCATGCTGTGCTTCTCAGCTAGACAGTACTAGTATTATGTAAACTCCTTTCTTTGCTGCACTTGTGAGAAAAATTATTATTGTCTTTAAATGGGAAAACAAATTTTGCAGATCTTTTCTTCCTTTCCCTGTGACATACCCAGTGTTGGAGCTTATCAAAAGTTAAATGGAAATATATTTTTGGAAGCCTTTAATTAAAATCCTGGCAGCATATCATTGTAGGTTTTTTTTCTGTAGCTCAATTCAATAAGATTTCTTGTACTGATAAGAGATTTTCTGGATAGCGACTAATTTTTGCATTGGTAGATAAAACCCTTGCAGAAGCAAATTCATGATATTGCGACTTTTCTTCAGGCATCAGATCTGCCTGATAGTTTCCTGAGATCAAAATACAGATTTCTGTTAAGAGCAGAATAGAGAGACTAACAGGCTTCTGAACTGATATTAAGTTAAAGGCCTTCTTCACTTAGGAGAAGGTTGGGAGGTATGAATTTGCAGGTTTGTATTTCTCTGCAATTTTTTTTTTAAGTCAGGAAATTTGGAACTAGATCTCGAGGTCCCATCCAATCCAAACCATTCTATAATTCTATGAAAGGTGTAACTCAAACAGCAATGGCACTTCAGATTTGAGATTTTTGGTTTGGTCTTTTGTTTGTTTATTTTAATGAAAGCCACTGAGGGGCAGCAGATAGTAGTTGATCTCGTTAAAAGAAAAAAAAAGTTGCATTTGGGGTCCAGTGTTATCTTACACGAGGAACTAAGCTTCAGAAGTGAGGAAATCACTCTACATAAAAAAGGGAAAGCAGAAAACTCACTGAAGTTAGGGATGATTAAACATTTGCCACCAAAACAAATAAAGCTTTGCAACAAAACATTTCCAAAGCTACGGATTCCCACATACATCTCTGTTCTTTCCGGCAGACAGGCACTTGGCCATAGTGTAAATTGCAGACTGCATTTTACTTCCTGCTGATGTCATTAAGCAATTTACTTTTTAATCTGACATGAGGAAATCGGTGCTTCGGGAGCGCATGTGGCTCCAACACGGACGGGATATTGCCACTTTACCGGGCGGCTGTCGAGCGTTCCTGCATCACTCTAACGTTGCAGTAATTTCAACTGGACATTTACATCTCCTTGCTGAAGTCCTGGCAGTCCGTTAAGCTTCGAGCAGACCCAGAGCAGTTACATGAGAAAGGGAATAATCTCTTATACCGCAAATTGACTTCCCTCTTTCTAGCCCTAGACACTGTTTCCAGCTGCTTTCAGTCTTTTAAATCCTTGAAAGCTTTCCTAATCCTCGTGTAGGCAGCAGCCTTTATGTGCTCTGCCTCCCTCCCCTTCCTTCTGATTGGCGAGGCTATTCCATGGCCCAGCTCAGCCAACTACTCCATCCCTGGGCTACGGTTTGAAATCAGAGCCAGGCGGACAGTTGCCTCCCTGCTCCCGACTTTTCATAGGCTGGGGAAAGAAGGTTGGGAAACTTGACATTGTCGTAAGACTCCCCCCAGCAAAGAATAAAAAGGGGAAAAAAATAATAGACAAGGAAGAGGAGGGAGGAAAACTTGATTACGGTGGGAAACTTGATGGATTTCTGCCCTGCCGACAGCAGCGCGGTGTGAGCAGCCCCTTGCCGGCTGGATGGATGATGGGAATCTCACCATGAGGCAGGTAAGGAGCCTCTTCCCGCCGGGCCCGGGTACTACCGGTTCCAACCTCTGCGGAGCTTGGCTGCTTTTTTTGAACTCCTCGTTTTTTCTCAAAATTGTCTAAAGTGAGTTTCCAGCGTGGAAAAAAAAATTAAAAAAAAAAAACAGATTTTTTTTTAATTTTTTTTTTCTTAATCCTCCCAGTAGACAGGGATGCCATGCAGGTCATGGTGCATTTTGGGCTTGTAGGGAGCATGGAAGCGGTTTGCGAGGTATGTAAATCAATTCCAGTTTGCCATGGTTTAAGTGCATTGTGTAGGCTGCCTCGCAGCGCCTGTTTGTGACATGTGAAAGAACTTGTTGTGTTATAATCCTAAATATGCCAATAATTCAGCCTAGGGACAATTTATTAAAGAGCACTGCATGAGTTCCTTGCCTGCCAGTGCTTTAATCTTCTGATTGTTTTAAAATGTAGTAGTTTCAAGCTGTCTTACAGCTTCACAAAAGTACTTTAGGATGGGTTTTCTAGGGACTCTTTTTCTAAGATTATTCAAACGAGATTTTTTTAAAGACTTCTATTCACCTGAGGGGACAAAAGGAGCTTTTATTCTTGTTCTTGCAGTTAAAAGGCACAGTGACAAAATTTTTTTGATTCTCGTTGTTCATAGTTTTACAGCAACAATGTATGCTTAGAAGAGCCTTGTGGGAGCAAGAAAAACTGGCTTTACCTTAAGACCGAATCAAGGATCTGTCCCAGTTTAAAAACCCTTGCCAATACACTTCTGAAACTTGCTCTTAACATATTTTCTAGGGAGGTAATGGGTAAATATGAGGAAATGAGAAAAGTTTTCTAGGTTCTTTTCTGTGTGGGTGTTAGTCATTCAGTTCTCAGTGGGACTTTTATAGTACATGTCCAGGGAATGCATGTGTGAGGATTTTGCACCTGTAGTGCAAATGGAGCATTTGTTTTCTGCTCACTTTCTGAACCCATGGTGGGAAATTCCAGCTTCCTTACACCAGTTTTCTCTAAGTTATAGGAGGTGGGGAAGGGTGAAGAAAGAGAGAACGTAGGTGATAGGAAGAGGAAAGGTATTTCTTGCTTCCACTAGCCAAACAATCACCTTTTATAGCTCTTTAAAGAGAGAGGGGAATTCTTGCCCTTGCAAAGCACAATGAAGGGCATTTTATATACTCAAGTTGGTCAGCTGGATGCACGTAGTCATCAGAAATCATTATCACCACAAGAGGGTACTTTGGCACAGGGGGTTGCCAATGAGGAATGTGAAAGAAGCAGAAATGTTACAGGATGGTAATAATAAAGTGCTCTGTGAAACGTGCTCTTTACTCTCCTGAAATATTTCTACCTAAAGAATAGGGCTTCATGGGTAATGAAGATTCATAGACGGTGGGTTAAAAAAGCAAAACAAGTAAGTCGGAATAGAGAGGGTGGAAATGCTAAGGCAGACACATACCCTCCCTTCCCCTCCAAGAGAGGAGGAGTGGGGGGGGGTGGGTTGGTGGAGAGACATTCCATCCTGAAGAGAGGTGCAGGCACAGGCGGGCTCATTCTTGCCGGGCCTGCCCCGTCCCGGTAGGTGCTTGCCTCTCCTCCCTCTCCCGCAGGAGCGCAGGGAGGGGGACGCGCCGCCGAGGGGGCCCCCGTGCCTCTTCCGAGGGGAGCGAGATCGGGTGGGGAGCACCCAGCTGGGGCGCGGCCAGAGTTTGTTTAAACACCTGCCTGTGAGTGCGGTTTCTCTCTCCCGTGCCAAGGGAACAGTTTGAGAGTATTTCTCTGCGTTCGGTTGGTTTGCTGTGCACAAATATTTTCAGTTTGGCAGGGAAAGTCTGTGGACGCTTCTAGGGCCCAAGGGGCAAAATGCAGAGAGCTGGGGGTGCTGTGTGCAGCAGCCCCTGGCAGCAGAACTCTTGTTTCAGTGGGAACTGAAGATTGTGATGGGCTATGAACTAACCGTATAAAACCTTTAGGAAATCCATTACAGCAGACACTTGGAAACAGGCAAGTCATGTGCAGCTGGAGCCTTCACTCCTGCTTCTAGTTGGAAATTGTTATGGGAAAGACGAATATGTAGAGGGTAACTTTTCCGTGGCCCTTCTATTCAGAGCAACAGAGAGCTCTTTTTTACCTACTTCTCCACCTTACAAACCTCTCTCCCTACCTGTCCTGCTGCTTTCCCTGCCCTTCCCTCATGCTCCCTTCCTTATCCTTACACCAGCTGGTTATAAGGCAATGAAGGGGAGGGTTAACTCCTTCCTTTTCTCAGACTCTGGGAGTGAGTACTCCCACTTTCAGAGGCTCTTGGTGGGACTATAGCTTAATTTGGTGTAGCTGAGTTAAGCATCAAGCAGGCAGCGTATTGCAGCTGTTGGAATAAAACCATGTACTGTGCTGATGATGATCTGACCCAAAGGCAACCCACAGGTCCTAAACAATAACAGTATATAGCAAGACAAATGCACTAATTTTCCCAACAGAAGTGGAGTAATTACTGTAGAAATGTAATATGCAGCCTGTTGAGTTGAAAAGATTCAGCCCACCTTACTACCTTACTACTGCCAGTCCAATAGTCTCTAACAGGTGACAGGAGTTGGTGTAAATGTTGTGTTGAGATTTGTAAATGAGACAGTATAAACGAGCAGTCATTTTTAGGTGATAATTGAACACCTCAGCAAGATGGGTCTTCTTAATGTCTCCCAGAACGACCTTACAAATAAGCTCCAGTAACCAAAATAGGAAAATTTCTATCCTATAAGGGAAAATATACCTGTCAGCATGTACCTGTAAAAGTTTAAGCATCCACAGGAAATATATCCATTTGTGTGTGCCAGCATGTTGTAAGACTAGCGTTAGGAAGCAGAAGTGCAATTTTTAAAGGTATCTAACATGGTTGCAAAACAAAACAAAAAATAATAGACAAGAAAAAAAGTCTTTTACAGGTAACACTTCATTTGCTTTGCAGAGTACTCAGTTCAGTTTATTACTTATATATATTAAAAAAATAAATATCCTAAGTAAGGAAACTTGCAAACAACGGAAACTCCTGGGAAGATGCTCAGCCTTCATGTGGTAGAGTTTTTGTGTATCTGGACACAGTTACATGGCTAGATTCCCTGAGTTTGCTGCAAAACTGGAGAGGGCACTGTGGGCTCTGTTTTAAGTTTCCTGAGTCTACTTCACAGAAAATCAAATGTTTGATGAATTTGAATACTTTTTTTTCATTCACTTTCAACCACAACATATCCCTGAAGCGTGGAGTGTCATTGACAACAAACGCAACTCTTTATTTCAGTCTCTTCCTATTGAAGTACCATTGACTTTGATCGAGGCGGTTCAACTAAACAACTGTTAACTGACATGCCACCTAAAAATGAAAAACTGTGTTTCTAAGGCACATAAAACCATTACAATGACTTATCATGACTACAGTCATATGGCTTTTAGCATGCGTATAATTCACCAAGTGAATAAAGGCTGCATACAGTTTCAGTGCAAAGCATATGCAAAATTCAAAATCACCCCCTTTCTTTCCAGCTGTTTAGGTTCTTTGCATGTGTTTCTTATTTCCTATTTTCCTTTGCATACCTTTTAAAATTCTTAATGTGTTCCTCTGTAGAAAAACTGTATTCTTATCCTGAAGTGTTGTAATCCTCAGCCTTGTGTTAGGAAATTCTCTTGTAAAGTTGATCCTGGTATGTTTTGTTGTTTGTTTTGTCTGTAGGGGAAGAATGAGCGTCTTGGAGAATGCTGCTTTTTTTTGTGTGTGTACCATGCAGAATAAAGAAAACAAGTGTACAGAGTCTGCAGGCTGGGAGTGTATCAGTTAATTAGTGCTGGACACTGCTCGGTAGGAAGCCTGGCGAGGATTTTTTGTGTGTGTGTGTGTGTGTGTGTGTGTGTGTTGTCTGCTCGCTTTGATCACTTGTGTGGTAAATAGACATGCAGGGTAGCTATAGCAACATGTGCTGTAGGCTGGTGGGAACTGAGGGGATGGGATCCCAGGACAAAGGGTAGTTTGTTAGAGTGGTTGGTTCTGATTAGAAAAAGGTGGCACCAATCAGGGCGTTTAAAAACATCGGTTTTACAAAACGCAAATGGATGTTATCAGTTTCAAAGTAAGGCTTGTTTCTGTAACTCTGCAAGAGTAGATCATAGGGAAGATTGGGAATGAAGGGGGAGGGATAATAAAAAGCAGAAGCAAACCCCATTTACACTTTTGAATATAAAAATGTTCATGCTATTTCTCATGTTGCTGTACTGTCTATGTACTTTGCAAAAAAGCATTTATAGGAAGCAAATTGTCACAGACGATGCTACTAGGAGTTGTGTTTTTAAAACATGGCTTCAGGAGGCAATGATGATAATGACGTTATGTAGTGCATCTGATCCATTACCTTTCTCCAGTTTCTAAAAGTTCTGTGTACAATTTGCGATCCCAAGGTACTGTACCTATTTCAGCAGCCTTCCTGTAGAGGTCAGACTTGAAGCTCTCAAAATCTTCTCATGGTAGAATTTCAACCTAAAGCTATAAAAGCACAAATCCAGGCATAGCCACTTTCCTCATTAACTTTATGTGGAATACTTTTAAAATAATATTGGTTTGTCAGTGTTGGATTATTAAGTAACACTGCATTCTTCATTGATGGCAGCCTGAAATACATTGAAATTCAGCTTTGTCTCACATCTTGAACAGAACCCAACCTAAAGCTTTTATTAGCGCCTGAATTATTTAGATGCGTATCTCTGTCTCTCTGATCCCCACTAGGCCTCCTACCTTTGATGAGATCTGTCTCCAGCTCCCCCCCTCCTGCCTGCCCAGCCCTCTACTGTGCTGGCTGCCGGCTTCCCACTGCTGCCTGGTCCCAGGACTTTCCCTCTGGGGAGGGACAGGGAGGCAGGCAGTGCCACAGAGAGTTTCAACAGCTTCTGAGCTCTGCAAAAAGTTGTCAGACCTCAGAGTCTCTCCACAGAGTAGCACCAGAGGTAAGGGGTCTGCTGGAGCCTGG